GATACGGGATTGGCCTAATAAGCCGTAGATTTTATGCCTTTATCGCCGTAATACCTTAGGAATGATTTAGGAATGTTTTTGGGGCTTTAGGGAAGGAAATCATAGAGGTTTTTGGGATGGTTTTGCTACTGGTGCGTAACAACGATTTGCTGTAATTGCGAGTTCACACGGCGAACATTCGCCCCAGACTCGCACGACGAACTTGCTAGCGAACGTAGCAGAGTTTCGCGAATTATGTTCTGATTTAGTGATGTCTTGATGTTTTAATGCTGTGATTTTCCTGATGAATTACCATGAGTGTAACTGTGATTCCTATGTGATTAAATGAATGTATGATGAATTATTATGAGGATAATTGTGATTCCTATGTGATTAACTGAATGTATGATGAATTACTATGAGTATATCTGTGATTCCTATGTGATTAAATGAATGTATGATGAATTACTATGAGTATAGTCGTGATTCCTATGTGATTAATACATGACCGTATGATGAGTACCCATGAGTATAATTGTGATTCTTATGAGATTAATACATGATTGCATGATGAATCCCCAGGAGGGACAGTGATGACTTGTGACATTGATTCCATGAGGTTTTGATGATTCTATGATGACATGATTATTATGATGATTTTGATGATGTACCTAATGAGTTTATTATGAGGATGATGTTGACGTGTGCATCATGCATTCATATGCATTCCAGACTTCGGTCTAGGACCTTGATTCTTGTGGCTTCAGTCATATTATGCGGATGTGAGGTATTTTGTTGTGCTCCGGTTCTTATTTAGAATCGATCCTACTGTTGTGGATCTATGGGGGGTTGATGGCCTAGTATCCATCGAATTTTGTTGATTGGTACCACATGCATGAGTCTTGTTGCATTTGCATTTATGTGACAATTTGGTGTAATTTATAACGTTGTGGCCTTTGATGTTCCTTGATGGTTCTGATGATGTTAGATATGAAAATGACGCCATTTTATATATTGATTCTTATATTGATTATTATGAATCGTTTTACTCACTCTGATTATTAAAGGTCATGAGAAGTGAGAGTTTTGTTTTGCAGGAAGATAAAAATGAGGGAGTATGTTGGTGATGATAAGGTTGAGAAGAAGAGGATGATAGTATCACATTTTTCTGCTTACTAAAGAAGCCTTTTTTTTCTTTTTTGATTGGATCCCCAAAATGGTGAGAGAGATCTGAGTGTGATATGTGCACCGTTTCTATTGGTTCATTTTTCATTTTCATGCATTGGCCAATTTCAAGCTTAAATAGTAATGTTTAGGGCTTTACAATTCAATGCAAATGTCTAAAAAGTCCTTGGACACTTTGGAGAGTGATCAAGATGAGTTCAAAAAATAAATGAAATAAAATTCATTTTTTTAATAAAAATAAATAAAAATCAAAGGACTATGTATTTATATATATATATATATATATATATATATATATATATATATATATATATATATATATATATATATATATATATATATATATATATATATATATATATATATATATATATATATATATATATATATATATATATATATATATATATATATATATATATATATATATATATATATATATATATATATATATATATATATATATATTCAATATTTTGATAAAAAAAATAAAAAGAATTAAAATGAATAAAAATGGGCTGCGAAAATGCGCAAAAAAATAAAATTAGCGCATTAAAGTTAGGGGTGGCAAAATAGGTCATGGCCCGTCTGGTTGGCCCGCACACCTGCCAAAAAATGGCGGGTTGGGTTGAGATTTTGTGTACGCCTACCCGCTTAGTCAGCTCTACTTTAAGCCCTCACGCCTTAAGTCCGCCAAAAAAGGGGGCGGGTTGGCCCGCCAGTCTGCCAACCTAGTTATCAAACACTCAAAATATTTATTTTAGTTGGTTGAAGGTTAATACTTGAACTATAGTTTTGAAATATTTTTAATTATTCTATTTTATACATTTATTTATGAATATATACAATTTTTTAAAGTAAAATTTGTTTAAAAGATGCTTTATAAAAAAATTATTCTAAAAATAAGTGAAAAATCTAAAAATAAGCCTATTATTATATTACAAAAATAAAAAATAAATTAAAAAAATAGAAGGATAAGCTCGCCCGCTTGCCAACCCGCCACCTTTGCGGGACAGGCTAAATTTTTAAGCCCAATTTCACTTGACGGACTTGTCCGTCCCGCCAACTTTTTTGGCGGGTTTAAGACGGGGCAGACAACCAGTTTTTCCATCCCTGATTAAAATAATCTACGAGAAATAAAAATTTGGAAAACAGAAAAATGCAGATCAAATCTCGCAGTAAAAAATACTCGGTTGAAAAGGCTTAAACTAATTAAAAAGTGACCGTGCGAAGAGTAAAAATAAAATAAAACAAGCACACCAGGTTGAACAGTGTGAACCTTAGACTAATAGAACAAATAGATGCAAGCCCAAACTTGAAATTTTTTGCTTGCTAATTTACGCACAATTGAGAATCAATTCAACCGATCTATCTGTAAAACCAAAATTTTGTTCTAGTTGACTTTTTAGGCGTTATACTAAAAGAAATGCATGCCACAGTATGCTGATGATGCAAATGTCATGATGAATGTATTGATTTATTGATTTAGGGGTAAAATTGGGGTATGATAGTTCTTTATCATGTATCAAAATATAATCTTGTACCTCACCTGAAACTTCATGTTCATGGTCAATTTTAGTATCAGATCATGGTTCTTCTTATGTTTCTGGAACTACCCACCTATTTGATTATCTACCTCTACTTCCCACAACTTTAATTTGGTAAAGACATCATATTTCTACTTTTATAAATACACTCATAGAAACCTCTTTGGTTAGCCCCTACACATCAATATCCACATAGTCTAAAATTCCCTATGTTTTATGCTTTTTGGTCTTGAACCAATCACAAAATTCTTTCTCAAGCATACTATATGTGCACAAATTCATCATGATACTAAAAACAACCTTCAATAGATTTCTCTTAAGAAGTTCCATCATCTCATGCTCAGTGATATAACTTAGACGCATATGTAAGATTTTGGCTGCATCATTATCAGACTTAACTGATGCAAGATCACCTACAACTGCATTCCTTATTAGTTTATATATTTTACTTGCATTCCTCCTTTCTCTTGTCAAAATCAAGGCACCATTGATGACCTTCATAATGTACCTATCTCTATAAAACTTGTAGGAGTAACCATTTACCTATATAGTGCTTAGGAAAATCAAGTTCTTCCTTAATTGTAAAATATACCTGACACTGTTCATGTTCACATGCTTCTATCATCTATGGAAATTTTAATTTGCCTTATTCTAGTGTTAGTACACCCGTTATCATCACCAACATAAACAAATCCCTGACATGAATGTATTGAACCATTACTGGTGCAATGTCATGAAGTAAGAGCAACCATAGTCAAGAATCCATGCATATGTGGATATGTTGGATGAAACACATAGTATATTTGCATCATTACCAGAATCATTGGTTTAAACAACATTTGCAGAACTAGATGATCTTTTTTTTATGTTTGGACAATCCTTCTTCCAGTTCTCAATATGTATGCAACAATAACACTAAAATATTTTTTGATTCTTAGATTTAGACATTTTCTTTCTTGAACCTAATTTACCTTTGTTGATCCCACAATCTTGACCCCCTTCCACATACCGATCATCGTTTTGAGCTTATTCCTCTATACTTTTTCTCCTTTGAGAATGAGACAAAAGATTAGATGTAATCACATCAAGACTGGTAGTGTATTTCCTGTAGGTAAGAGTGGTCACTAAGTGGTCATAATAACCTGGTAATGAGCACATCAAAATAATTGCCTTATCTTCCTCATCAATCTTCACCCCAAATATCATTAGCTCAATGATTATATTGTTGAAGTCATATGCATATTGTTGCAAATCATATAATTCCTGCATCTTTATACTGTATAGTAACTGTTTCAAGAACAATTTGTTCATTAATATCTTTGATATCTATTAACTCTCCATTTTGTCTCAAACCTCCTTCAATATCGTTAGTTCTAAAATATGATACATCACATAATCTGAAACATATAGGTGACTCAATAATGCACCCTTCTCCTTCATCTCTTCTTAATCGGTATCCTCCATGTCAGTCGTTTCCTTCTCACACAATGTCGTCTGTAAATTTTGCTGAGCAACCACATCCTTAATCCTCTTTTTCCATAATACAAAATTATACGTACTATCAAACCTTCTCACTTTGAATTTCATACTAGGGTTAATCCCCATTTAATACCGATTGTTAGAATAACAACCAATATGAAAGATTAAAGAGAAACAAACGTAAAATACAATGATCATGATTGATCTTTGTTATCGTCATTCGGCTAATGGTGTCTACCTTGCGATTATAGAACACCTATAATTTTTTTTCTGTGATTAATTATGGTTAGAGTTTCACAAAATATATATAATTTTACAATAATAACCTTGAACCGTGCCGCATGTGCTACCGGTCTCGCACCCTCTAGTCGCATACCCGCAACAAACAGTCAAGCACAATACACGTTTGGCGTTTCCATGATTAACTCTTGTGTTCATATTGTGTTCTTCTTTGTATTTTTATGAGCCATGCATATTTAACAAGATGTAATGTCAATACCTAGACCTTAGTAGATAGCAGTTACAAAGAGGAATAGGTGGGAAAACAGCATGTTCCATTGTTCTCTTGTCCAATTAACAATAAGGCTAAAATGGCAGGCAAAGAATTTAGTTTTGCTCGATTAATGCATGGATATTGTGCGGTTGTTAGTGTTGTTAGGACTATTTCGATGCCAACAAATTTTGTTAAAAATAGCTACAACAATATATCATTTGTTTATATGTTAATTGAATACATTCATCCAACTGTACTTAATTTGTGCTTAGACTATTTTTCATACACATTTCAAAATCTTATAAATTCAAATTCTACTACTTAGGTATAAATTCAATCATGATATTCCTTATAATAATCTCCCCTTTACCTGCCTTAGGCACCAAGGTAACCACAATATCATCATCTTCATCAGCTTCCAAATTCTCCAACACTTTTGACACTCCTACCTTAAAACGAGTACTTATTCTTCTACTCTTATGAACACTGTGCAAACTAACAAAACTTGCCACAAATTCAGTTTGATCAGGGTCACTCAACTCATCTTCATCATCATTAACATGAACATCAAATCTGATATATTGATCACTTCCAAATTCAATCCCTTCTATCACCAAAACCTCCTCCTCATTTTCTTTCTCCAACTTACTCCTCAACTTCCTAGGCCTCTTCACAATCACACTTTTTTTAGAATCTAAAACTAATGGAAAATGCTTTCTCTCCTTTGAAATCAAAACTTTAGCTCTTTTAGCTTCCCTTTGTTCCTTGCTCATTCTTGTTGGTGTAGGTTGAAAATTTAGCCATGGAAGATCAACATCTTGATAAACATATCCTAGATTTTTTGTATCAAGACAATCTCTTACCTTAACACGAACAAGCGTCGCATTTTCATCGTAGAAAAAAAAACTAGAATCTAACCAATCTTCATCATCACTATAATCTCTTCTTCCTTGTCCCAATTTTTTCCATATAACCCACATTCTATCTGAGTTGGAATGATGAGAATAAAAAATAGGATCTCTAGCAGCTGTATAGAATGCTCCCATGTCTTCACGATTCGGAGTATCGGCAGCACCAACCCACAAGTGGACAGTGTTATGAGGTGCAAGTTCAACTGATCCAATACCTATTACCAGAAAACCATGCAGAAATTTTGATAAGTGATAATAAATAAATTCCAATATGTTAAACCTGTGCCGTCTCAAGTAACCGACAAATATTTTATGAGGTTCTATCTTGTACAATAACTCGTCTTGTACGTCATCAAAGATGGACAGTTGATAAAGATGTCTAATGATTCAATACCTGGATCGGATTTATCTCCGTGTCTAAGAGGGCTTCCCATGAATATTTCTTTGGTAGAAGCTAAAACCATTTGTTTGTACATAGTAGCCATGTTGAAAGAAATTTGTTTTTGAGGAGAGATAAAATTTTCATTTCCGAAGAATAGAAGATCTACAATATATGGTGGCATGTGGTTTTTGTCTCTTAGTTTATGATAAAGTGAAGAATTCATATATGTGAAATAGGGTGGGATTTGCATGCCATCTATAGTATCCCAACTCCAAAAGGGCATAGCAAAATTTGGGTCACCAATTAAACTACCTAAGATTCTCTCAAAAAAATAAAGGTACCAACGGTGGAAAGGAAAAAAGAACCATGACTTATGAATATCAATTTTCAGATTCTCAAAAGGGTGTTGTTGATGATAAGCACCATCACAATAAGCACAATGGATTTTAGATTGTTGATAGAAACTACGTGGATCATCTTTAGGTAATGCTTTCATTAGAGCAATGCCTTTTTCAAATTTGGCTATAAACTCTTGATCAACTAAATGGCATGGTTTTCTAACCCTAAGAGGAGTATTTGAAGATGCATAGTCTTTGAATTTGAAATCTTTGATCTTCAATGGTGATTGCATGGGAGGACAGCAATTATCGGGTGTAATTGCGCCACGAGGTAAAATCACGGGAAAACACTTGCTTGCATCGGTGGAAATGGCGCGATTTTTTGGAGTTTCTGTCGGGAGCAACAATGGACTAATGGAATATGGATCTTCAATGTTTTTGAAACCAATGAAAGCATAATGCCAATTCAATCTCTTTAGAAAGGGTTTGAAGCTTTGTTGCAATACATTGCTTTCTTGGTTATTAGAAAAGGTTTCAATGGTGAAGAAATTTGAGAACTTAGTGGTGAATAACAAAATAATGAGAGCAAAGAATAAAGGGACGAGAAGCTTTGAAAATATGGTCATTGGAATCTTTTGTTTAATCTTCACTCCTTTTTCTCAAAACATGCATATAATAAGGGTATTTAACGAAAATTGAAGGAGTGCGTTTTATTTTGTTACACAAAATTAATGAACTTGTAAGTGAGACGTGTAACGTGCATATACTTAAAGTGTACCTAACTTTCATGTGGACAACTGTTTTTCCAATGAAACATGAAAGTTCTTTTAACATTCATGTTTTCTTTTTAGTAATGTTTTATGATAATTTGGACTTTATAGATTGATTCTAATATTTTGTAGGGTTTTTTTATACGCAACAAGTTCATATTAACCGAATTTTAGGAGTACACCAATTCAAATACATGAGTCTTACAATTTCATAAGAAATTATCACCCTTTACAACTTACGATCCCTCAAATCATATATTGAACAAAAATAGGCCTTAGATCATATTTCGAGGGGGATTTAAACCAATGATAAAAACTACATTTAATATAAGATGAATTATTACAACCCAACCAATTCTAAAAAGTATGAATTACTCACATTAGAATATCTTCGAGTTTACCTACCAAATCGTTGAAGATGATTTGGTTTCGAGTCCATCAAATAGCCCAACAAGTCACCATCTAAATAAATGAAGCAGAAGATTTGGATGAACTCTTAACAACCTTCAAGAACCAATCTAAAAAGTGGTCCCATTGTTAGATTCAATCCAAATAATGTTCACCCACTCCGCAATCTTACGCCACACTAAAATAATATAAGGGCACCTACAAAAAAAAAATATGATTAATATCTTCCGAAGCATTAAAACAAAAGACACAAACTATTTCGTGAGGATTGGAGATTTTTCTCCTGACCGCCAAATTCTCTCTAATTGGAAGTTTGTCCCAAACCAACCTCCATGCGAAGATTCTAACTTTAAGAGGAATTTTAATTTGCCATGAAATTTCTAAAACAACCTTGGGAGCAATCTCGAGCTCAAGGACATCAACAATATCAACCAAAGAATTGTAACAGGATTTTAATGTAAATAAATTAGAGCAGCCACCTTTCTAAACAAAACGATCCTCGACTTCTCGTTGCGACGAAATGTCCAACAACAGAATTTGTAAGGCCTAGAATTCAGGAATATCCTCTACAGACAGGTCGTGTCAGCATTTCAAAGCTCCAATGCCAAAAATTGTTCATCCAATAACCCAATTTTAAAACTGCAACTTGTTTACATGAAGAGTGCAAGTAGAGATTAGAGAATAATGTGTTATTGAACGGTTTTATGATGCATACATACTCAATAAATTTATTTTCTTCTTTGTTTTTTAAACAAAAATAATTCATTAATTTTTGAAAAAATCCTTAAAGAAATTAATTACACAGTCCTCATTCATTGGCAATTTGCCTAATAATTTAATGTTATTATGGTAGTTCTAATTTGCCTAATAATTTGCCTAATAATTTAATGTTATTATGGTAGCTCTAATTTGCCTAATAATTTGCCTAATAATTTAATGTTATTATGGTAGCTCTAATTTGCCTAATAATTTGCCTAATAATTTAATGTTATTATGGTAGCTCTAATTTGCCTAATAATTTGCCTAATAATTTAATGTTATTATGGTAGCTCTAATTTGCCTAATAATTTGCCTAATAATTTGCCTAATAATTTAATGTTATTATGGTAGCTCTAATTTGCCTAATAATTTAATGTTATTATGGTAGCTCTAATTTGCCTAATAATTTGCCTAATAATCTAATGTAGCTCTAATTTATTATTATTGTCATAAATTAAATGGAACATTAAACTTTTAATGGGTTTGAGTTGGGGTCATTCATACATAGACTCCATACATATTAATCTACTTTCTATTAAAAGAAAAATATTTGGAAATTACAATATTAATTCTTTGATTAACAATTTAAACTTTTCTAATTCCAAAAATGTATTAGTCTTTATCAAACTTTGCTGCAATATTAAACATTTCGTATTAATTACATTTGATGTGGCAAGTTCTAAGTTTGTATCAGAAGGTTATGGAATCATTCATTGGTAAAGATTATTATTTGTTTCTTGAGTTTTAAGTTATAGTAATAAAAAATGGGTTTAGATGACAATGGAAAAATTAGAAAAGGAATGAGATGATTATTTTTAATATTAAAATAATATTTGTTTTATTTATTATATTCTTATCATATTTATAAATTTAATTATGTTTGACAACTATTTTACTAATTCGTCATTTGTTAGATAATATAGGTAGTGAACTATCGTAAAGAGATTGAAATTGGACAACATTTTTCACTATTTTATTTTACCTTTTAACAAAAAGTTTAATATCTCCTTTAAATTTTTATTTATTATTGAAAAATATTTGTGATAACAAACAAGTCAAACAATACATCATTAAATTAATTAAAATTATTAATATTTATATCATCAATTACAATTAAATCTACCCCATTGTACTTTAGGGTTTTAGATGAGCGATAGGCTAGTTTATGAAAAAAAATTGGTCATAATTTTATGGAAAATTTTTGATAATAACTTTATGGATTTTTTAATAACTTTTGATAATAACTCTACAGTAAAATTCACATCTCTTTATTTACCTTTATGAAAAAATATATATTTTGATTATTATTATAGTAATCTAAAAATTCACATCTCTTTATTTAACTTGTGATAACTTTATGGATTTTTGATTATAAACAAATTCACAACTCTTTATTTACCTTCATAAAATTCACATCTCTGTATATAACTCTACAGTACAACATTTTTTTATAGAAATTATGTAATTTTGATTATTATTATCATTAAATTTATATATTATTGTTAAGATGGAAATTTAAAAATATATATTTTATTTATAGGTCACAATTATTTTAAAATAATAGAAAATTTTGTTATCTATCTATATGTTTTATTTATAGGTCCCAATTATTTTTAAATGTTACTTTTCAATGCATTCTAAAAGAACTCAAAAGTCATATGAGAAACGTTTGAAAAGACTCTTTATTTATTTCTGAGGAATTGAAAAGGTATTTAAGATGACTTTATCACTTGAGAATTTTAATATACTTTGATATTTGATATATGATTATTATTTACTGTTTCACACTAATCCAATGGTTAGACATGCCTCAATCCACTTCTACTTCTAGAACGATCTAGTTGTCTGAGCCCAACCAGTTTGAGGGGAGAATTTACCTTTCTGCCCCTCCAACAGTGGAGGCTGATCAATTTACCCTTGGTCACAACACTTCTCCTCGTCATTCTTTGCCCGTCACGCACGGTTCTACCATCCAGGAACAACCAAGACGCTTATGCCTGTAACTACGCTTATGCCCGTGCCAACGATTAGTTATGGGCACGTCTGCCCGTCCCAACGGCTAGTTTTGCCAGTTACCTATTCTTCGGAAAACGGTTATCTCGCCCCGAAAATAGGGACCAATGGCCAAGCGTTGGGGGCACTATAAAAATTCTCTCACTTGAGAGGGTCGGGTATTCAATATTCACCTTAAAACACATATTTTGTACTTGCTCTCTCTCTTGCTTGTTTTCTTACTTTAGCATCGGAGTGTCTTGCAGGTAGACCCCCTCTTCCTCTTTCACACCTAGCATCACAGACACTTGTCTTTGCCCCACCTCAGGTTCTGATCAACTAGTAAGATCAGTGGCGCCGACTGTGGGGACTTGTTATCCTCGTCTTTTCTCTCTTCGTAGAACACAAGACCAAAACAATTCTTCAAATTTCTGATCATGGCCGCTCGCGACAATAATTTTGATGCTCGTAACTCTGCTTTCCTCCCCGTCAGCAAGACTGATGCTGATGGGTCCACCACCTCTCATGGCGGCAAAGTCCTCCGACAAAGGAACAGAGCCACAACTTCCTCATCCCCTGCTCGTGTAAATCACGACGAAGTCCCACTTATCTTGCAGCACTTTCCAGTTAGTTCCGCCCAGCGCCGACCCGGCCATGGTAGCACTCCTCGAGGTTCTCAAGAAGCCATTTGTCCTAGGAGATCATGACTATGCGCCTACCAAAAAGACTAGAGAAACCCCCTTCTCTAGGTACATATGACGAAACAACTGACCCCGACGAGCACATCAAAAATATTGATGCGCTGCTCGATTCTCGCGGTGTCTGGGGTACTATCAAGTGCAGGTTATTCCTGACCACGCTTAGGAAGGGGTCAATGACCTAGTACAAAGGGTTTCTTAACGACTTCATCACCTCATGAAGACAACTAGGGAGTCTCTTATCCCAACACTTCATGGCCTCTCATCATCATCCGAAGGCTGAAGCCTTCCTTGAGGCCATCATTCAAGGGAGAGATGAACCCATGCGAGTCTACATTGAAAGATTCAACAAGAAGGTCGTCCAAGTTTCTACCACCGATGACATGAAAAAGTTTCTGCTTGAACGCGGGCTCCGTCCCCGTACAGAATTTGATAAAGTTGTAGGCATCTGTCCCCCGACAACGTTGGACGCCTTCCTCCTCAAAGCACAAGCGTACATTCAGTATGAAGAAAATGAGGTTGTCAGCTCATCCCGTGATTCCATGAACAGGGTGAACGCCCAAACATCCAGGTCCGACGAGCCATCGACATCCCGTCGGGGAGATAAAAGACGAGAATACCGTCCCCGTTAGCCCCGGGACAACAAGGGACCCTCCAGCAGGTTCCACGAGTACATTCCCCTGACAATTTCAAGGGGAAAAAAATCCTCACTGAGTGCACAAACTCAGAATTCTGGCAGGCAGGAGTCTAGTTCCGAAAGCAGATACCATACAAACCCAACACTATTAAGTCTAAATATTGTCGGTTCCACAAGAGCCATGGTCATATGACTGAAGACTGCATCCACCTGAAGGATGCCATCGAAATACTTATCAGGGACGAGCATCTGAAGCATTTCGCCGAACGAAAGGAAGCTCCTCGACTAGACGCTCAGGAATCCCAGAAAGTCGAGGAAGAAGTGCCTTCCTCCAAGGAAGCCAACCTCCAGGTCGCTATGAG